CCCCAAAACCCCAAAACCCCAAAACCCCTGGGAATAGTTAGGTTTTGAAGATTCTCTCGATTATACAAAATGGCGACTTCTTGCTATTTGCATCGCTGGAGGCTTTCTTGTACATATCCTATTAGCTGGGTAGGGGCAAGGTCAATACGAATAGATAAGAGACGACCTTCTGGCTTAAAACGAGCTATCTTGAGTAGTCTGTTAGATCTAATATTCTGATTTGAGAATACTAAATATATTTAAATCGAACATAGCAATGAATGGATTATTAATAAGCCTACATTGGACAAATAGATTCTTAGGATTGTCAGCTAACTAAGTAGGCACTAGTATATCGTTCTTTATACAGATATTGTGAGTTAAAATAAGGTTATTATTATTTCAAAGTGTTTTCTTCATGAGTTTAACACTCACAACTTTATCCATAAACTCGTTTTAACTAGACTCTGAAGTATTAGAAAATTTGCTCTTTATCAATATTTAGACTCTTAAATATTCACTTATGCAGCCACTTTGGTACTCTTAACCAAAAGAATCTACCAGGGGAAGAGATAGTATTTCGCTTAATTCCTCTTAACTCTGAAATTTCTTTCACCACCAAAGAAGATTATAATCACCTGTAAAGGTGAACTCAGTTACAAATCAAAAGATGCTTAAAATGTCATGAAAGAAGGCTGAAACAGTACTCACAAAGGAAACATAGAGTTTAACTAGATTCCAAACTCTCTTTGTATTGGTGTGTCTCTCTTCCGTGCCCTTGGGCACATCAAGAGAAATCTCCAACTTAAGTTGGTTGACTTGGATGGTCACCTAAATAACTTTACTACACTTACATTCCTAGACACAAAACATCACTTGAACTTATAGAAAGAGGCCATAGGGGTAGGAATGTTCATCCATGAGCAATTCTGGCTGAGGGGCCAATCGTCACACGTGTGCTCTCCTTTCCAATGACTCGTCCTATTTTGGTAGACTATAGAATTTTGGCAGTCAACTCATTTTTGAGAAAGAGAAATTTTGAAAATGACTTCAGCAAAAATTCAAAGACTTTATAATGGAAATAAAGACTTTAGCAATATAATACAGGAGGTTTATTCTCCATTACTATTTGGTTATTACAAAGAGCAGAAAGTGCTTGCAAATTCTTCATTATTCAACAAAAGGGGTATAATAAACCTTGAGATGGTCACGTCGTGTTGTAGGGATTTGAGTGAAACTTTAGAGTTCTTCTCCAATAACAATAATGACTAGTCTAATACTGAGATAGAAGGTTATTGAGATCTATTCCAATAGTTCATTTCCTTATTTAAAAAAATACACAAAGTGGAAGTCCGCTAAAAATTATTTGAGTTTCTCAGAATTCTTAATCGATGTCTGCTTTAATAAAAATAGTCTCGTGAGTAAATGAAAGACTTTTTATTGCAGTAAATAAAGGGCGCAGTTAGTTAATTAGCTGAAATTGCCCATGCGATAATCATATTTTAAAGAGACTCTATTAACATGTAGAATATGTGCACACTACTTCTAACTTTTCCCAGAGCAGTATAATTATGATAGAGTCTCAGATAAGAATCGTCACGATCTGGAGCTTTGAGTCCAGAGAATTTTGACGAATTTCAAAGTTTTGATCAGTCATTTTATTATTCCAGTAAATTATCCATAAGAAGATTTGTATTATCCAAATTCGGTGAAACATTTCATTTCTTTCGATCGGATTGTGAGAAATCAAATTTCATTGAGCCAACTGATAGGAGTGATACTAAGCTCTCCCTTCACTTTGTAAAGCTTAAAATTGAGAAGTTTGAGTCCAGCATACGAGGCACTAGGCTATGATATTATGAAAAAAAATAGAAGATCTTCAAAATTCAAATATTTCTTGACATAAAAGGCCTACCTACATTCAGGAAGAAATCTCTGCATGCTTGCTAAATAAAATGCAGAGATAGAAGCTTCCATTATTAAAAGGCATTTCGGATTTTTCAGAATGCTATAACCTTCTTATTTAAACAACAAATCAACCAATAAGCAGCCAGAATCATTGCTGAGTTTTCACAGCTGACTGGCAAATATGGCTGGGTTAGATCCTTACTCCTCATGAGAGATGCATGTCAATATGAAGACATATGAGGCTCTATAGAAAAGACTAAAACTTTTAATAGGACTTAGTTTAAGAGAAATATCTAGTACAACTCAGGAAATGAACCTAACTTAGCCTATATACGAGCATTTTTACTAAATAAATCGCAAGATAAGTACTCTAATAAACAAGTATCTTAATTTGTGCCAAGCCTCTCTCTATGAACTTTAGTAGAATTCAAGTTATGAATTTCCTTGCAATAGCATTCACCGCCCATATATTTATATAGCCACTTGAGCCTTGCAATAAGAGCAATTTTAAAGCATTTGGGAGTGGAAGATACTAAAATATGATCATCGATTCTTTCTTATAAATAAACTGATGCTAAAGTATTATAATATTTTACACCTCTGGAGGCAACCACCAGCTTCCCAGAAACTATTTAAGAGACTAATTTTAGAAGAGGCAATATAATTAAAATAAATTATGGAAGCAAAATTTATTCCACAACAATTTCAGAGCCAGAAAGACAAAGAGAATTCAGCTAGTGATGAGCACAAGCTTCTTTTTGACAAAATTGGAGAGCTCCAATTAATAGAGTTGTCTAAACATTATTGTCTCTGAGAGTTTTATCTTTCTTCTTACTGTCAATGTAAACTCGAAGATTTTCAAAATAATGCACCATTGGATTTTGATACTCAAAGTTTAAGACAAACCCAGCAATGATCACTCTTACCAAACACTAGAAGAGTTCTTGAGTCAACATCGGTGTTACCCCAGAGAGATCGCACTTCGTATCTTTATACAAAGCTTCAGCATTTGATGCACCAGCTCATGGCCATCAACAGCTCCTCCAAAACCCTTGTGTTTGCAAGACCTAAAACAAGACGTAGGATCCCACGAGTAAGCTCTAGAAGGTCTCACTTCACCGGAGTGTTCAAGAACAGTTTGAAGTGGCAGGCTCTCATCAATATCAGGAACAAAAAGACGTACATTCATACCTATTTCACTCAAGAAGAAGCAGCCAGGGCATTCGACCTGATGTCACTACTGCTGAATGGAATGAAGGCAGTGACTAACCACGATTACTCGAAGGATTGCATTATAAGGCTGTTCTCAGATTATTCAGACATAGTCAACAAGTTTTGCTATTATTAAGTTTCTATTATCCTACCTTGCCACGGGGTTTTGGGGTTTTGGGGTTTTGGGG